GAATTTGATATTACAGCAAAACAGTTTTGTCATTATTCATACAAGTCAGACACTACACTTTAAACTTGGCCTTATGCCATACTCCATTTGAGTGGATATATGAATAAATCCAAATACTATGCCCACCAAAATTTAAATCTACATTAAACTTGGATTAACTAAAATTCATATTTAATTTAGCAAAGACTTTTCAGGTATCATTTTTTTGTAACATCTACCTTTTTTAGGTAGATCCAGTGACAGGATCCAAACAGTCTGAGTTCAATACCTAGTTAAGGCAGTGGAGAACTTGGACAGGGGAATTAATAGGAGATAACTAATAACTGACATCCATTAAACATGGCACGTGGAACTAGAACAGTCTACCCCAGTGAGCAAAATAAAGGGTTCAGTTCGACATTCCAACCACCTGAAGAAGGCCAGTGCATACAACAGCTGAAACATTGTAATAAATATGTCGACAAAGATGATGACAATAGTCCGAATAATGTAAATAGTGTACATAATACCTCATCTCAGAAATACAGACATCTACCTTTTTTTATATATAAGATATTTTAACATGTTTTTATAACGTAACTCTACCACCCATAAACCTGTTGGGTTTCTTTACAAAGCAGTTCATGGTAAAAAATGATGAGGTAACAATATTATCTATTTTATTATTAACTGTATATGTTAATTTGTGTTAAAAGATGGTTAAAGAAGGTTTATTGGTCACTTTGTAGTTAACACATTGTGTTAAAATTTGAAGTAATTGCTTAAAATGTGTAGTCTTTTTCAAAATAAGTATATTTTTTATTACATCTACTAGTTTCATCCTCATATTTAATTCAATATAGTTAATAGCAGCAAATCTGTGCATTTATTTATTTACCTTCAAGTCATGTGGCACATATAACCTCTTCACTTTTCAAGTATTTGCTTATAAAAAATAAGTTCTATTGTAGTGTAGTGAATGGTATAAATATATGTTGTGTTATGCATATTCAAATTTATTTAATAATGTTGTTATAATATTTATTTAATGTTTATTATTTGTCATACACATAATAGTTGGAATATAATATTCAAGTGTTTCTTCACATGCGGATTGGTTTAAGAATTTCTATCAAAAACAAATACTGAATTTTCTATCAAAAATGCCATAAAATAGAAAAAAATGCACTAGCTCAAGAACCCCTTGTCTAATTTTTGTGACTCAAATGCACACCCGTTGCCACTTTTGTATGCTAACGAATACTCGTTGTCACTTTCGTCTTGCTCGTTTGTAATCACAGATACAACTATAGTACACCATTGAACAATACTGACACTTTTGAACAGCACTTGCACTAATAGTACTTGCTTAATAATACTTGTTTGAATAGTAATCTGTATAGTAATCTAAATAGAGCAATAGTATAGTGAATAGAGGAGAGAATAGTGGTCCGTAAAGTAATAGAGGATAGAGTAGAAATAGCAATCAATTAGACACACACTATCTCCCATATCTGCATTTTTCTATGGTCACATGGTCTGCTTAATTCAATAATGTGATTGCCTGTTTGCTCACTGGCAATCTATGTTCAAACTCAAGTGTCGACAGTGACACTTTATTCCTATATAACACTAATTTTAATCTAATTTGACTCTGTACCCAGAAAGAGTTCAAAGTAAAATTGATTGGGGTATTATGTATAATTTAAGCTGTATTTTGGGAACACACATTGTGGGGAAAATTGTGAGAATGGCCTACCTCAGAAACGCCCGCGAATCTGTGCGTCATGCAAACTCCGTTTACTAAACAGTAAAAAGAACCAAAATGGTGGTGCCCATGTTTTATGCCAGGCGGTCTCGGACAGTTAACGCGAAATCTCATTGTCTCGTCATTCGCATGCAAATCATGGTTGGTCCTCGGCTGTATAAAGCAGGCGTATTTTTGTTTCTGATGACTGTGTTTTTTGCTTGTGAGAAGTTTGGACATGTGACACTATTTTGTCGGTTATCCTCCTCGCATTTCCTATCTGCTATTATCAGTTGAGTCATTGCTTTACCACCACCCACACATACATACATACATACATACATACAAGATTAGAGTTTTAGTACTATACAGATATATAAAGCTCAAATTTGGATGGATGGGTCTCTGCCCAAAAACCTTAAATTTAAATATAAATGTGTGTGTATGTTTCTTTGCAGGTATGCAAACAAATATTATGTAAAAATGTAAAATCAAATTTAGTTTTATTATTTACAGTATGTGTCTTATATCTTGCACAGCTTAATATATTTTTACTTAACGGACATCACAAATTTTGCATATTCAGCTTTAAAAAATCACATTTTAAAAATAACATGGAGCATCATAAAGTACAGGCTCTCAAGAAAGCAGTTGAGCAACATGCTCCATAAGTTTTCTATGTGGTTGAGATCAGGAGATTGCAGCAGCCATGTCATAACACTCACCTGCTTCTCATCAAAGTATTCCTTCATCAATTTTGATTTGTGACAGAGAGCATTATCCTGCATAAAAATGAGCTTGGTGGTGTCGATTTGCACCCTTTCAGCAGAAGGGAGCAGAAGAGACTCTAAAATTCTCTTGTACTGCTCGCTCCTGAGGGTCTTTTCAATAGGTTTTAAGAAACCAGTTCCATGAAAAGAAAAGCATCCCCAGAACATTATACTGAACGGATGCTTGACAGTACTTATTGCTAAATTCAAAGAGCTTTCAAAGCTTCTTCAGATTTTAGATCGCTTATCCTTTAAATTTAGCTCAACTTTCGTTTCATCGGAGAAGAGAACATTTAGTAAAAAAAATCAGGTGAGTCACTTTTATCAAAAAGCACTGTATATATATATATATATAGGATTAAATACAAGTAAAATTTGTCACTTAGCTGACTGATGTTATAAATACCATCACAACTCTAGAGTTTTGTAGATAAACCCTTTTATAATCCTTCTTTCCACTCATCAGAAAGTATCAGAAATTGATTGCAGATTTTCTCTTTGTTATTTTGATACTACATCAAAAATTAATTTATACACTAGTGATTGGTGTTAGCCTATATGTGTGCTTGCACACATTTCATTAAACAAAACTGATAAGGTATTTTGTATGTGGACAGCTGCTTTTTTTCTGGTCTTAAGGTCAAAACATTTTCCACATTTTGTTGATGTCAAGTGTTTTTAACTAAACTGTTAGGCATTTCTATGGAATTTAGGTATACTGCTATGATAAATGTTGTGTAAGTGCAATTTGTCGACAGTATTAAAGTTGCTGAGAGCAGACATTCAGCCCTTCCAAATATGGCCAGATTCATAATTGATGCTAAAGGTTGATTTTTATTTTTGTTTTACAACAAGGGATTCTATCACTTTTTTTTTTTTTTTAAGCATTTCACTCCAAGCAAGGCGGGAAGCCACTAGGATGCAAGGGGTTACAGAAAATAGCAAGATCAGATAGGATTGATAGAAGAAAGGATGAGGGTAGTAGATAGATTAAGGCAACTGGAGATGTCGATTGACATTACACTTGAATAGCTGGAGATTATAGCTCGCAGGGAAACAGGAGAAGGGAAGGGATTTCCACAGGCGAGAGGTGCATGAAGCTATTAGAGTAGAAGAGACGGCTACATTTAGGAGTTTCAACAGTGAAGGGGTGAGAGTGGGATGCCAGCCTCGTAGGGCGCTGGAACTCATGATGTCTGAGAACCAGCGAATGCAGCTCCTCGGAGCAATTTCCATGAAAGTATTTGTAGAACAGACAGAGGGAGGCGACGATGCATCTCTGAGAAAGTGATTATAGACAAGACGCCAGGGCAGGGCCAACCACATTGCATATCCGCCTCTGGAGCCTATCAAGAACCCTGAGGCAAACAGAAGGGGCACCAGACCATATATGGCAGCAATACTCCATGCAAGGACAAATTGTGGATTTGTACATCTGGAGGATCGACTCTGGAGAGAAAAACTTCCTAGCGCAGCTCAGGAAGCCAACTTTCCTTGCAGTGGACGAGGCAATTGACTCGATGTATTTATTCCATCTCAGGTCAGCAGTCAACGTGAGACTGAGAAGCCGCAGAGAGTTGCTCTCTAGAAGTTGAGCATCAGACATTCTAATGGAGGGAAGGGAAGACTCTCTGTGGTGATTAATAGAGAGCAGTTTTGTCTTAGAAGCGTTGAAGTTGACCAGCCAATTCATGCCCCAGTTCACAATTGATTGGAGGTCCTTTTTTTGAGATGCACGGCCAGGTGAGTTTTTGTCAGCGAGACTAGATTTGTTTTTTTGAGGCAGGAATAAATTGTGGTGTCATCCACAGAGATGCCAACTTGGGAAGTTATGGCATCAGGAAGGTTATTTATGTAGATAAGGAATAGAGTGGGGCCTAGGATGGAGCCTTGAGGAACACCTGCGTTCGTGGGATAGGAACTGGAGGAGAATCCGTTGAGAATGACCTTCAATTCATGGTTTGACAGGAATGATTGTATTAGGTTATATAATCAACCCGTAATGCCATAACCCCAGAGCTTGCGAAGAAGGCTGGCATGCCAAACCCTATCAAATGCTTTGGAGATGTCTAGTGCCATGGCTCAGGCTTCCCAGTTATTTTGGAGAGCTCGGTAGACTGTTTCAGTGATGGCTGTAAGCACATCGGCTGTAGATCGGGCTTGTCTGAGAGCAGATTATGGGATGTGAGGTGGTCAACCACCCCAATATTGATTAGAGCTTCGAAGACTTTGCCGAAGAGGGGAAGAGGACTTCCAGCAGTCAGGAAGACAAGATTCCTTGAGGAAGTAATTGTATAGTTTCGAAAGGGCGGGTGCCAGTTCAGGCGCGCATTTCTTCAAGACAAGGGCTGGTATCCCATCTCCACCACTAGCTTTGTTGGGATCTAAATTAGAGATAACGCCCAGTACCAAAGATGGGGTTATGTTTAACCCACTCAATATGGCATCAATTCTAAGAGGGAAGTCGGGTATGGGTTTTAAACAGTTACTTGTTGACTCTATTCATGTCTACCTTTCTCTCTCTCTCTGTCAGAGTCTATTCGTGGCTATCTCTCTCTCTCTGTCAGAGTCTATTCGTGGCTATCTCTCTCTCTCAGAGTCTATTCGTGGCTATCTCTCTCTCTCTCTCAGAGTCTATTCATGGCTATCTCTCTCTCTCAGAGTCTATTCATGGCTATCTCTCTCTGTCAGAGTCTATTCATGGCTCTCTCTCTCTCTCTCTCTCTCTGTCAGAGTCTATTCATGGCTATCTCTCTCTCTCTCTCTGTCAGAGTCTATTCATGGCTATCTCTCTCTCCCTGTGTCAGAGTCTATTCATGGCTATCTCTCTCTCCCTGTGTCAGAGTCTATTCATGGCTATCTCTCTCTCCCTGTGTCAGAGTCTATTCATGGCTATCTCTCTCTCTCTCTCTGTCAAAGTCTATTCATTGCTACTTTTCTTTCTCTGCCCAACTATCTCAACCATCAGGTAAACTTTTAAGATGTACTTAATAATGTGCATATATTTACAAGGATTAAGAAAAATTATGATGAATGTTTAATTTATATATGAATATATTTAATCAGTGATTAAGATAATCCATCAAGGAAAGACTTTTGTTGGTAGAATTATTGACAAGTCTCAAAGTTTTGTAGCATTGTTTTCTTATTGCAAAAAAAAAGAGTAAAAAAATCTCAAATCTATATCCAATAACAAAAAAATGATAAACATTAAAAAAGGGGGAGACATAAATTGCCAGGTAGCTCACAGGTCAAAAACTAATTCAGGTGTCAGCTTATGAATAATTCAAAGCTTTTCACGTGAGGAATTTGTCTTCCATTACATTTGTTCTCTTATAAAAACTGCCATTATTGAAGGAAATGTTCCTTGAGAGAATTACATGGTGCCAATGAAGTACAACGTATAATCTGTTGGCTCTTGTCATTGAGAATTTAATTGCTAAAAGGAAATACTGACCTTTGACCTGCATTCATCCATTTCTGTCATTAAACTCTGAAAATGGCTGTCTTCTTTTGTCTGGCCAAAATCTCAGTCAATAAAAAGAATCCTGACACGGAAAACTATTTTGGAAGAGATTGTTCAATTTTAAAGGAAAAAAAAAAGGGGACATACTTTGAAATAATAATATGAGTGTCCAGGCAGTGTATAAAAGACAAAGTTTTAAATGACTTTCCAAATGTATTTTGTCATGCATGAGAAAAATATGATAATGCCTTTTTGTGATGAAGAACTTGTGACTGTTCATATTTAGTGTGGAAATGAGGCTGTAAAAAAATTCTGGGGACTTCAAAATCATTCATTGCAAGAGATGTTCGATTTATTGATCTCATTCATTTTGATTTTCTTGTTACCGTGTTTCAGCCAATATATGCTTTGGACATCCTCAGGTGTACAATCCATATAGAAGCAGTGTTGATTTCAATCTGCAAAAATGATCACAAAATTTTTTCATCCCCCAATTATAAGCAAAAACACACAAATCCATGCTGGAATTTTTTACCGAGCAAATAAAACAGGCCAGTTCTCAGTTTCATATGACTCAGTCCCAGTCTGTCTTGTCTTTAAGTCAGAATGTTATGTTCACTTGTCCAAACTTGCATTTTTGTGTTAACCCCAATTCTTAGTTTGTAAACTTTTTGCCTTATTACTATTGCTTTGCCTTGCATATATTGTTTGCTTGCTTTATATTATTTTTGCCCTATTCTTTTTTTAATTTTCTTTATTTCTTATTGCAAACTTTGTTAATTCTGTTTGTTGGACAATTCTGTTACTTTGTATTTGACAATGGCTACTCACTCCACCAGATGTGTATAAATCATTAGGTTATAAGTGTATATCTTACGATGAAGGTAAAAATGTCTATTTTATATTGATGGCTTGACTGTGCAGATAGATTTTATATTGATGAAAAATGATTGTGCCTTGGCTGATCTTTCTGTGTAGGTGTATATAAATCCATGTCTCGGCTAAATACATCACCATCAATGACAAAATGAGATTTTGTATCCTTTCTGTACGACTATTTATAAATTCTTAGGCCATCAATAAATACATCAATATGAAAGGAAACCATAGATTTTACATTGGTTGGTCTTCCTGTTCAAGTTTACAGAAAATCATTTTGTTATCTTCAAGTAAATGTATTGCATTATTACTGTAAAATTTGCCTTGTATATATTTTTTGAATGCTACAAATTATATTTTGACCTGTTATTTTCTTTTTCTTGTGTTATATGGTCTTACCCATAATAATAATAATGGACTATTCCATACTTAATAAATACTGCACCTCAGGAGTAGGCAAGGAGTCAGTAGTTCAAGTCGAGTCAAGAGTCGAGTCAGAATGCATTCAGATAATTACTGCAAGACATTGGAATAGTGATACTGATCGAGACTACATTGTTCTCCCTACTAAACCTGATTGTTCATACTAACACTTTTACTTCTCTGTATATATTCCTGTTTGTAATATATCTGTGTTATTCCATACCTGTGTTCGCTTTCTTCTTTATTGGTTCTACATTGGACTATCACAGTGGTACAAGGAACCAGACCATAATATCTTGTTATTTCAAACTTTGTCAATTCTGTTTGTTGAACAGTTCTGTTACTTATTTTGCCTTTGACCATAGCTACTCACTCCACAAGCAGAGGATACACGGTAAATATTTTCAAAACAGAAACAAACTGGGATGAGAGCAACAATGACACATAACTTAAAACCATCATAATGGTTCAGGATGTGGAATTAAAAAATATGAAAGCCGAGTGGATTAAAGCATTGGTTTGTGAATTTGGTGACAGTAATTCTATGTTCAATCCCTGGGCAGGGCAGTGTGTGTGCAGACTTAAACTCAGTGGAAACTGGGCAAGCAGTAACTTAGGAGTACTAAAATAAGAACTAGACAAGATATCCCTCTGTGAAATGAGAGCAACCATCCCTCCCTCCCCCAGGAGGCTAAGATAATTAAATAATGTATTCATACAGATGGGATATTGCGTCAATCAAATCTATGTTTTATGTTAGATATTAGGTTTCAGGTTGAATAATTATGCTGCACTTTGCATAATAAACGTAAAAAATATATTTTTGATAAGGATAGATAATATAAATAGAAAATTACATGATTTACCTCATCTATAGATTAAATAATAGAACTCACATCTGGAAAATCATAGTTATCTCACAAAAATTCTTAATGCAGTCTTCAGTGGAAAAAAAAAACATTATTACACACCAAAAAAATGTTTCTGCTTTAAATAAACCACAAAGGGTTGATAAGTCATAAAAATAATCAATCAACATTGAATAAGTTTTATTGATAATACCTGTTTTATTGCAAGAACATTAACTTGTATAATTGTTATACAGAAACACTACCCTGAAGAGTTGAACATGGATGCTTCCATTGACTATAAATGTAGTCGTTGCAAGCAAGACACACAGGAGTTGCAAAGAGTGTTGTACTAACAATGATTTTTGTTAGTATTGTAATATTAATCAATTAAAAAAAGTTCTTTCACTAATCACTTCTTCCAGTATTTTCCTTTGGAGTATTATTAACTAGAACTACAAGTTGGTACGAGAATTATAAAATGATACTTCACATATTCAGTTCAAGTGAAGTGATAAAGCTACAAAGATGCAAGGGGTTACTGGCAGTGAAAGACTTTAGTGAGGAGAAAGGACAATAAAAGCATATTTGGGAAAACAGAAGCAAGAAATCAGTAGGTGGTTTGACAGAAGTGCAAGAAAAGAAATAAAATTGTTATATTCTGCTGCAATTAAATCTCTTTCTGATTCACATTATATTGTGACCAGATGTGAGTGCTAAGAAAGAAAAACACAAAATAAAAAAGGTGTTTTCTGCACAGGGGCTCCAAGCATCACATCCAGTCCACAAAACAACTCACCACAATATAGTCAAACATGAATATTCTTAATGGAAAAAAGATGACCTTTGGGACCACCAGAATTGCTTAAAAGAAATCCCCTTGTAAACAACTGAAACAGTTGTGGGCCAAAAGGCCACCTACCAACATGCAAATGTGTTGTTGCCATCACCATCATTGCTTCTCTCATAACCATTGTGATCTTGTCCAAGCTTCACTAAACTCAGCTAACACTTCACACACAGAATGTGGCTGATGAGCCAGCTTTGACACTGCCAGGCTCCTAATGCCACCACCATGATTTCCAACAAAGACATTCTGCTCAATCAATTGCCACTATCCATCCTAGGCCTTCCTCATTATCACTACATTCAACCAGAATCCAACAGAGACATTTCGCTCGATCAATCTCTCATAATCCATCATCACCACCAACATAACAGCAGCAACCAACGCAACCTATGCATCAACACACCAAAAATGGTTGCTGAAGACACTAAGTTTGAGTCCCAGAAATTCATAGACAGATGTACTTAAGGACACATAGCACAGTGGATAAAGGCGTTTGTTAGATCCAGTGACAGGATCCAAAGAGTTGTGAGTTCAATACCTGGTTAAGGCAGTTGAGAACTTGGAAGGGTGAATTAAGAGGAAATAACTGATAACTGACATCCATTAGACATGGTATGCGGAACTAGAACACTCTACTCCAGTGAGCGAAATAAAGGGTTCAATGTCAACCACCTGAAGAAGGCTGGAGCATACAACGGCTGAAATGTTGTGATAAATATGGCAACAAAGATGAGGACAATAGTCCGAATAATGTAAATTGTGTTTAACCATTATGTATGGCATACGTCAAACCCCACCAATGGTCAATCCATTCCAGAAATATCCTGTGACCTTGGCCAAAAAATCAACTCCAAACACTACTGACATTTAATCACTTTCCTTACCAACAGCATCTGAAGAACCACACATAAACAATTTTTGCCAAATTTCAAACAATTATGTATATTTTCTGAATTTTGATGAATACATGCTTTTGAAAATGTCATCATTGTTTGTTCCTTTCCTTTGCAACCAAATACTTGTCATAACAGAATAAAGCATGCAATTGCGGCTAGCTAGTTCAATATTAAAACATTGAGACCTAGTTGCCAATCTAGCAGCATGCTTAAATTCATGCAGTCAAGGCATTAAGGATGAAAGCTTATCAGGAAAACTGCTGTGAAAATATTTGTAGAATAGTCAGAGGAAAGCCATGTCACATCGGTAAGAAAGTCACTGCAGTCGAGATTCCAGGTCAGCACTGATTACATTACAGACCCTTCTTTTTATTTTGTCAAGGATCTCAATATATATAGTAAGAGCACCAGTCCAGATATGGCAACAATATTCAATGCATGAATGAATGGTAGATTTATAAATGTGAAAGACAGATTCTGATAAGAAGAATAGTCTGGCACAACACAATGAAATTTCCTTGAAATTGATTTAATATAATTACTCCAGTTCATGCCAGTGGAAAATATGAGCCCAAGAAAATGCAAAGAGCTACCCCACTTTAATGTTAGC